TTGAGGCCTTTATTTGCTGATGTGGCACAACTCAAAATAAGAAACAGCTCAAACATCCATTAATAATTAAACATGGAGTGCACAAAATATGAATCTAGGAAACTTGGGAGTTATCAAAATATCAGTGTTAATACATAAAGATCAATATACTAAACATTAGTGAGCTGAAATGGACTGATATTGACCACTTTGAATCAGACAAACATCTACAATGCTGGGAATGACAGATAGAAGAAGAAAGTTGTCACATTCCTCATCAAAAGAACATTCCAAGGTCTATCCTGAAGTACCGTTTGTTAATGACGGAATAATATTCAGGCACCTACAAGGAAGGCCAACTGATGTAGCTATTATTCACATTTAAGCACCAATCACTAAAGCAGCGGTTCTCACTCAACCTGTGGGTCGAACGACCCTTTCACAGGGGTCGCCCAATTCATAACTAGCAAAATTACAGTTATGATGTAGCAACAAAAATAATTTTATGGTTGGGGTCACCACTATTAAAGGGTCAGGACATTAGGAAGGTTGAGACGCATTGCTTTAATACAGTTCCTCCTGTTGTGGTGACCCCTGTGAAAGGGTCGTTCAACCCCCAAAGGGATTGCGACCCACAGGTTGAAAACCGCTGTGTTGAAGTGTTGTGGCATTAGGAAGGTTGAGGACCACTGCACTAAAGCCAAAGATGAAGGAATTGCTTTTTGTCAACTTCTTCAGTCTGGAATTAATCAAATATACAATGAGGATGCATTGATAATTACCGGTGATCAGAATGCACACGTTGGAAATAAGGATTACTAGCTGGGAAATCGGGCCCTGGTGATAGAAATGAAGCTGGAGATTGCATGATAGTTTTGCAAGATTGATGACTTAATCTTTTCACGTACTTTTTTTCAACAACATAAATGGTGACTATACATGTGGACCTGACCGGATGGACTGCACTGGGATCAAAGTAACTACACCTGTAAAGATGATAAGGAAGCTCAATATCCCCAGTTATAACCAGGTCAGGGCAGGCCATGGAACAGGCCCCCAGTTGCGCAAGCCAAGTGAAAGCTTGAGGGAGTTCCACCTGAATTTAGAGACCGTCTCAATAGGTTTAACACATTGAACATTCATGACCTCGGACCCGACAAGGTGTGAGGTGGCATCCAGGACATCATATGCCAAAAAAGCAAATGGACGTGGAAAAGGCAAAGAAGACAATCCCGAAATGGATGTCAGGAGAGCCCCTTGAATATAAAGTAACTAAAAGTAAAAGGGAGACATTATGAAGTAAGAGCTAAGGGATATCAAAGGATGGCTCCAGAAGACAAAGAATACAAAGACCTGGAGCTAGAAAATCAAAAAGGAAGAATATGCCTGACATTCTCAAGCAGGCGGAAGTGAAGAAAAACAGTCAAGCCTCGAATAATATTACAGGTTTATATGGGCAAGATATTTAACCACAGAGGACACATCAAAAGAAAATAGAAGGAATATACATTTACCATACCGAAAAGAATTGGTCAGTGTTCAACCATTTTAAGAGATGGTATATGATCGAGAACTGATGGTACTGAAGGAAGTCGTCTAAGCAGCACTGAAGGCATTAGTGAAAAATCAGGCTCCAAGCATGGACTGAATACTAACTGAAATGTTTCAACAAGCTTCTGGAGCCCTGGAAATACCTACTCATCTTAGCCAAGAAATTTGGCAGACAACTGTTTGGCCAACTGACTAGGCAGAGCTCCACAATTGCACCCATTCCAAAGAAAGGTGACCCAACAGATGCAGAAATTGTCAAACAATAACATATTATCATAATCAAGTAAGATTTTGTTGAAGATAATTCAACAGACTGGAGCAGTAGCACATTGACAGGGAGTTGCCAGAAATTCAAACTGGATTCAGAAGAGGATGTGTAACAAATATGGTTGCTAACATCAGATGGATCCTGACAAAGCAGAGAACACCATTAAGATGTGTTTTAATGACTCAGCAAAGGCATTCAAATGTGTGCATCATAAATTATGGACAACTTTGAGTGGGAATTTGAGATCACTTAAGTATGAGCACTCGGAACCTATCCATGGGTCCAGAGGCAGTCTTTCGAACAGAACAAGGGGATGCTGCCTGGTTTAGAGTCAGATAGGTATGTGAGGATTGTTATCTTTATACCAGAATTACTCAATCGGTGTGCTGAGCAAATTGAGATCTTGGGATATGAAGAAGAATGTTACATCAGGATTGTAGGAAAGCTTAATAACAGCCTTCTATATGCAGATGATATAACCTTTATTGCTGATATCAAAGGAAAAACATTTACTGAGGAGTATCAAAGACTACAACCCTCAGTATGGATTAACACCTCAACACAAACAACAATAACCAAAAAAACTCCACTGAGTTGATTCTGACTCAGCACCCCTTTGGGACAGAGAAGCACTGGCCCTTTGGATTTTCAAGACAATAAACCTTTACAGCAGTAGTAGGCCTCGTCCTTCTCCTCGGGGTTGGTTGGGGGGTTGAAATGTAGACCTTGCTCAACTTGTAATCCACTGTGCCACCAGGGCTTGACCTCAGTCTAAAGAAAACAAATATTCCCACAAATGGACCAGTAAACAGTAACATGTTAAACAAAAGGAACAGAGAAGTTGTCGACGATTGTATTTTATTTGGATCCATAATAATCCATTGACGCAGCAGTCAAGAAAATCAAATGATATGTTTTTGCATTGAGCATGTCTGCTATAAAAGATCTTTTGAAAGTGCTAAACAGCAAAGATGTCACTTTGAGGACTAAGGTGCGCCTGGCCGAAGTCATGGTATTTTCAGGGGCCTCATCTGCATGCGAAAGCTGTACAGTGAGTCAGGAAGGCTGGAAAGAGTTGGTGCCTTTGAATTACGGTGTTAGCGAAGAGTGTGTAACAGACCATGAAATAGCAGCAGAACGGACAGATCTGCCTTGGAGGACGTACAGCCAGAGAGTGCTCCTTCGAAGCAGCAATGGTGAGACTTGGTCTCAGATGTGTTAGACAGGTCAGCAAAAAGGGGGGGCCTTCAATGAGACCACCTGACAGTCAGTACAATGCGCTCAGGTCTAGCAATGACTGAGGAAGGAGGCACAGGACTGAGCAGCATTTCCTTCTATTGTACTGAGTTAGAACTTCTAGTGTATGAGTTAGAACTGACTCAACCAAACCTAACAATAAGAGCAGGGTGTTTTCATTCATTGAATGGTGCAACTTATTTTAGGAGAAAGGAATTTGTTTTCATCACTTAGTAGTTCCACATGTGTGTTCTGTATAGTTAGACCTTTTTCATAAAGGCCCACCACTCTTCTTTTTATTAAGTAAGACATGCTATTCAAAGTGTTAGCTGGGGGTGGGTGGGCAGATGTGAGTCATTAGCTATTGTTAGCTGAAGTCAAGACTGCCCCGAACTCCCAGAAACCCCAGGCACAAAAGAACAGAATGCTGCCCAGGCCTGTACCATCCCCCATGATGGCCTATGGATTAGGCCATTGTAGTCCGTAGTGTTTTTATTGACTGAGTTTTAGAAGCAGATTCTCAGTTTCTAATCCATCTTAGTCTAGAAACTGCTGAAACGTATTCTACATAGCGGCACATAAGCCTCCACTGATAGATGGTGGTGACTGCACCAGAGATGTATTAGGCAGGACTTGAACCCAAGTCTCCTGAATGGAAGGTGAGAATTCTACCACTAAGCTCTACCAGCCTGCAAAACTAAAGAACAGATTGAGATTTAAATGCATAGAAACTTGCTTCATAATTTGCTATAGCCATTGTAACATCCAAGTCTGTGATCCCTCATCTCATCTTGTAAGCAGGGTGTGTGGACTGACTTGACTGTTGTCAAGCTCACCGGGTAAGTTACAAGTGGCAGGAGCTGCATACTAGTCCTCCACTGGGGCTACATATGAGTACGTGGAAAGAAAACATTTGATTATACTGCCTGAATAATGAGGATGACAATAATAAATACCAAATAATAATAACAGAACACTGCTTCAGGAAAATAATAGCTCTCTGAAATGTGGCATTTCTTTAGATGCTCGTTCATTAATTAGTCCTGTAACTAGTTGCAATATTAGCACTGATGAGCATTGGACTACAAAAGCATTTGTTCTTACCTGGTTAGCTCAAACTTGTAAATAGGTTTTAAAAGAATACTGGCCCTTAGAAACAATAAAGGACTGGCCCACCTCTGCGCTCATCACTCAGAAGTATAACAAACCAACTCATGAGTCAGCGGTGACCTCACAGACCCCTCCGACTGCTTGTCCTCAAGCTGAATTCGACTCAGTGAATCTGTAGGACAGAGTAGAACTGCCCCTTTGGGTTTTCAAGGCTATAGCTCTTTGGGAGCAGAAAGCCTCATCTTTCTCCCAAGGAGCGGCTGATGTGTTCAAACTACTGACCTTGCGCTTAGCAGTCTGGTGCATAACCCACTATGCCACCAGGATTCCTTTATCTTATAAGGTATCTGGACAAATTTGTTCAAGAGGTGTTATGGATTGAGTTGCAGTCCTAACTACAACCCTGTGTGGAAATAGTGGGTTCCTCTTGTTGTGGTCATGAAGCCACAGTAGATTGGAGGGTGTTCTAAAGCTACTCCCTTCTAAGTGATGTTTGATAAACACAGGGAAGACACCACAGACGCAGCAACACCGAAGGTCACCAATAGTCCCCGGAAACCAAGAGGCCCACAGAAGGAATAGCAGGGGCAAGAGAACTGTGAGGAAATGGTGGCCTGTTCTTGAAAAAGAGTCTTTTATGACAGCCAGCTCTACCTCGGGAACTGAGACCAAAGGAGTAGTGCATTGAGCCGCTCTTACGAAATTCTCACACGTGTTCTGGATCTTGTGGTTCCTAGTCTGATACTTTTTAGCGTCAGAATCCTGTCTGCTTCATCTTGACTTAGTAAAATGGTGGACACCTGCTGATACCTGCCTTTTCCCATTCTTATTAATAACAAAAAAAAATTTTTAACAGGAAAATATCTTCATCGATCGGTTGAGGATGGCTCCAAAGACTCCAATAAAAAATGAACCAATTGATTTATCAAAGCAAAAACTCTTTACTCCAGAAAGAAATCCCATTACTCCCATTAAGCTTGTCGACCGGCAGCCGATAGAGCCATGGACACCTACAGCAAACCTGAAGATGCTCATTAGTGCAGCCAGCCCTGACATACGGGACCGAGAGAAGAAGAAGGAACTATTCAGACCCATAGAAAACAAGGATGCTGCATTGACAGTCTCTCTACAGGTAAGCAAGTTGTGCTGCTAAGGACTTGTCCTGAATTGTTAGAAATTGACTTATTTTTTAAAATCATGGAATTCTCACAATAAATAATTTTTTAGTTACTGTTGACCTGAATGCAATTGTGAGCTAAATAGCATTTTTTTCCTCATCTTTTTTGTAGCTGAAATTGAATAAACATAGATTCCATGTAGAAGTTTTCATAATTAATACTTTCGTCTCTTCTGTTACTTCCTTGACCAGTACATATTTTCAAACTACAGCTTATCTGGCCAGTGGGTTAGAGCCGCTGGCTTTGGGATTAGCTGCCCTGTGCTTCATCCACAGTGCCACCAGTACTCCATTTTTAATGTACTAATAGATGGTGATCTTGATTTAATTAAGAGGTTTGGGTTTTATTTTATAATGCTCTGAATTTTCACTTTGCTCCAATTTTAAGAGTAGTGAAATCCAAATAATTTTGACCTTATTCTTGTATATTTTTAGCTTTTTTTGATTTGGCACTTATTAAATTAAAGGCATCTGTAAATTACCTGTCTTGTGGTGGAGCCAGGGGCATTGAAAAAGCATCGTATATATACTGTTTAAAAGTCAGCTTTCAGTCTCCCATCAACTTGTTAACACACAAAGATATTTACTCATCGATTGGAGTTTTACTTCTTTGACAGTTTTCTTTTTCATGGAATGAGAGAGAGAGAGTGTGTGTGTGTGTGTGTGTGTAGGTGTAGGTTGGACTGTAAACATTTCCAAAATGAAGACATTCTATCTGTGAATAACTGAAATTATTATAGCAAAAGTAATTTGCTGAATTCTTTATTGCCAGGCTAGAGATTCCTTCCCATAACTAAATGCAAATCATCTATTTTGAGAGTGCTTTCATGCCTAAAGCCAGGAAAACTCAACTTCTTTTAAATCCAGGCTGTCCTTTTGCGTCCTCTTCCACTGTATAGTTGATGTGTAAGGACTTAGTTTCACAGGTCTTGGTTTAAATCACTGGCTGAGTGGCCGGGGAAAAATGACTATACCTCAGTTTTTCATCTGTGAAATGGGATCTTAATTGCCTGATGGCATTAAGATTTAAGGATGAAATGCCATTAAGTAGTGTTCCATTGTCTTGTCAAAAAGTAGCAATGTTAAAAATCACCCAATGAGCATTGTTAGTGACCCCTTTTCAAACTCACCCAGTGCAGGTGACTGTCTTCTGACTCAGTTACCCGGCACAACGGGGTAGAACTGCCCCTGTAGGTTTCCTAGACTGAAACTCCTGGGGAATAGAAAACCTTGTCTTTGTACCTTGGGAGACGCTTGAGGTTTTGAACCACTGACCTGTGGTTAATAACGTGTAACCCAGGACACCATCAGAGCCGCTGTCTTTTTCAGAAGGTAATGCTATTGCTCTATTGCTCAGTAGGACTAGTTGATTAATTTGGCTCTAAAGCAATTTGATTTGGGGTATCTACCCAAGCTTTGTAAGGAATTTTCAAACAATCAGCTACTTATAAGTGTAACTACCTTAAATAAATAAAGTGCCCTAAACTTTGAGTAGCCCTGAAAAATACAATTTTTTAACATTTTTAAGTTGGTTCTTTATTTCTACCGAGTATTTGATAATAAATACTTGTCATACATGTAAAATAATATTTTTATTATTCATGAGTAAACATCCCAACCACCAGGGCAGTACTGTTTAAAAGTATACCTCTTTTCCCACAGAAACATCTTGAGTTTATGTGTATCATTCCCTTGCTGTTTTTAAAAATCGCTCTGTCTTCATGTGTGTGCTTGCATGTTGCTTAGGTTTCTGTTCGAGGTGTGAAGCTTGTAAGTTTGGGATGATGCAGCATGTAGTCTTCTGGGAGTTGCTTCTTTCCCTCCTTAAGGTTCGGCCATGTTTTCACATGCAGAAGTAGTCCTCTGTTTCTCTGCTATATGATTCTCCATTACATGAAGGAGTACAATTTATCGATCTGTTCTCTTGTGTCTAGTTGGAGACTTCTATGAACTGTGCTAACCCCTGGTGGTATAGTAATTATGTGCTGGGTACGATCCTCAAGGTTGGTAGTTCGAAACCTACAGCCACTCCAAAAGAAAAAGACAGGGCTTTCCACTCCCGTGAAGAGTCTCAGAAACCGAGAGAGGCAGTTCTGCCCCGCCCCGTAGGGTTGCTAGAAGTCTGCATGCACTCCAGGGCAGTGGGTGTGGTTGTATTGGTTTATGTACTGTGCTGCTGTGATGCTCCTGTATCTGTCTCGTGTGTGTATATGTGTGTGTGTGTGTGTGTGTGTGTGTGCAGGTTTCTCTAGGGTAGCAGTGCTCAACATGTGAACTGCAGATGATCAACAAGAACAAAATTGTTTTCATATTAATACTCAGACTTGCTTTTTGAACACACCCACGCACATACACAGGAATTTCCTATGGATGGCACATTGTATTACACAGGTGGAATGCCAAAACAAACGTGAGTGTCCAGTTTTCTTTTATTAAGCGAAACACTACAGAGATTTGAGTATATATGTAAAATAGTGCCACTTTTTTCACTAAATATTTTTGTTTAGAAAATGTAGTTGGTTTTTTTTCATTAATGTTTATTTAAGCTTGATTATGAATTAGGTGAAGATTTACAGAGCAGATCATCAATTTGGCATTCCACAACTCATACACCTTCTGCCTGAACATACGCATTGCAGTCCCCCTTCAGTGTACCATCACTAAGCCCACTTCCTTCCTATGTTTCCTGCTTCCTGTCCTAACTTTGCCCTTGGGGGACTGGTGCCCTTTTGCTTTTGAATAGTTGATTGCTATCTTCAAAGATAATCAGATGTCTTACTAAAGTGTCTCTTAATTTCTTAAGTGGTAAATACGGATAGATAAGATCCACACTGAAAGAAAGAAAGAAGGAAGGAAGGAAGCTAGCTAGCTTTTTGGAGTTTCCTATAATTTCTAAGACTATAGAGGGGTCCCCTCTGTAGTCTAAGGACGGCTCTGTGAGGACAAATACTTGGTGGTGGGATTGCTGGGTCCGTTGTACATGCAAGAATTCCAGATTATACATTGCTTTTCATCAGCAATGTATAATCCACTTTATCTCTGACGCTTGAAATTGTCATATCTGCGCATCTAGTGAGTAAGCTGTAGAAAAGTGTAGTATCTTTCTGAGGTATTCATTTGTATCCTTTGATTACTCATAAATTTAAGCATCTTTTCTCATTTTATAGACTACCATGTTTCCTGCCCTGTGGAAAACCTGTTCATGATATTTGCAGATTTTTAGCGTGATGTTCTCTTTCTGATTGATTTGTAGGAATTTATTATATATTCTTAATACTAAAACTTAATCATGTGTTACATGTATATTCTTTCAATTTAGTACTTGTCTTTATGTTATCTAATATATATTGGTAAATGAAAGTTCTTGATTTTAACATAGTCAAGGTTATTAACTCTTCTAAAGTTGGTGTTTTTTATATCATTTTAAGATTCTAAAAAATAAAAAAAGATCCTCTTCCCTAGTCCAATGTTAGAAAAATATTCTCCTATATTTTCCTCATTTAAAATTTGCTTTATAATTCAGTTCTTTATATCATGTGAGTCAATGATACAATTAAAAAATTTTAATATGGATGATCAGTTGTCCTAATACCATTTATTCAGTAGTTTTACTCTTCTTCCCAATTGGTCCTGATTCTTCTGCCATCTACCAAAGTTTCATGTATATGAGTGGGTACTCCCCTCCCCACAAAAGAAAAAAACAAACAGAAAAAGCACTGCTGGGCGGAGCTTTCACAGTAGAATTTTTCCAGTAGATGAGCATCAAGCACCTTGCTCTGAGTTAGTGCACCCAGTGACCACCGCCTGGGAAGGTTCTCTCTGGTCACAGTGAATTTTTTGAAGCAATTTCGCTCAAACCTCGGTTTTTTGTGGTGGCTGATTTAAGAGAACAGCAGTATGTGGCTGTGAAATTTTGTTTCCTGCTTAAGAAAAATGCCACAGAAACTTGTGTTGAAAACCGCTTGAAAGGACTATGCTACGGGGAAACCACAAGTGTAAGAATGATTTTCTCATTTCAAAAAAGGTGAAATGTCGATTGATAGCCAAACTCGTCTGGACGGTGATCCTTCTCATTCCCAAATCTTCCATCACAATTCACTGAACCAGCTCCAAGATAGTCCCCATCTTTCCAACGATCACCATGAAATCTGTGCCGTGGCTTCTGCTTGACCAGGAAAAAGAGTATCGAGGGAAACAAGCTGTTTGAAAGAACAGCTCCTATGCGACCCAGACTTTTTTTTTTTTTTTGCAAGGCCATTACTGGTGACAAGACTTGGTGCTATTCTTAGGACCCGAAAGCAAACATCAATCAAGCCAGTGGAAGACACCATCGTCACCTTGCCCAAAAAAACCTCATCAAGTGAAACCAAAGATCAAGATGATGCGCATTTGTTTTATTGATATGAGGGGGATAGTACATTTGGAGTTCACTCCACCAGGTCAGGTTGTTAATCCAGCATTCTATTTAGATGTTCTGAAAAGGTTGCATAACAGTGTGACAAAAAAGACCCGATTTGTGGCAGAAGGGGGACTGGTTTTGCCACCACCACAGGGCACCTGCCCACGCAGCCATCTCAGAGCACCCGTTTTTTGGTAAAAAACAGCATGCCTTTCTTGCTCCATGCACCTGACCTTGCTCTGTTTGACTTCTGTTTGTTTCTGAGAATGAAGAGAGACACGAAAGGGCAGTGATTTGACGACATAGAAGAGGTAAAGAAAAAAAACAAGGGAGGTGCTTTCACCCACCAAACAGATGAGTTTGAAAATATTTTCAAAAATGGAATCACAGATTTGACAAATGTATTAAGTGTAATGGAGATACAATTTGAAGGTGATAAGGTTATTTTGTAAAAAAAAATTAAATGTTGTGCATAGCTTTGGGGAAAAAAGTTTATGGTTTTGGGGATGTATATAGGTCTGTTTCTAGACTCTTCCTTTAGTCAGGTTGTGTCTATACCAGTGCTATATTGTCAGAAACCAGGATGACACGATAAGCCATAAAGCAACACACACTGTTTTCTTTAAGCGTCTTGGCCGTTTTATCTATTTCATGGGCTGTTCATTGGCACTGCATTGAGTCTGTTAGGTTAATTTAGGATTATTTAACATCTTTAAGGTACTAAAATTTCCCATCCATGAAGATTTCTCCAGGATTTAGATCAATACCTTAGTATTTTATGCAAATAGACTTTGGGGGTTGGATTCCTAAGAACCATATATTTTTGTTGCTATTGTTATTGATAGCTGGAATTTATTCTGTTTCATATGTTGGTTTTTGTACTCAGCTGCCTTGCTAAATTCTCTTCTCATAATTTGAGTTTCCTTTGAGTGTTTTGTAAACCACCTTACTTTCTACAGAATGAACATTTTCTTTATTACTTCCTGACTTGTGTTCCCACCCCTCTTTTTCTTGTCTTTATGCACTGGCTAGCAACTCCGATGTGGCGTAGAAGAGGTGGCTTGTCACTTAACATCCTTATTGAGTGCTCTCAAGACTTACACATTAAGACAGGCGTTTGCTGTTGAATTTTTAAATTAAGAACAATCTCCTGTTTGATAACAACAAAATTTATCATTTCATTTTTAAGGGATTTTTGGAAATAATAGATAACACATTTATTAAGTACTTTTTCTGGATCTGTTGAATCTGTCATTTTTCTCCTTGAATAATGTTCATTAAAAAGACTTGCTTTGGGGGGACTTAAATTGAGTCCTTTGACATGTAGGTTGATGAGACTAGGGCACTGGTCTAGTGTACTTAGCATAAGGAAGCGTAAGATTTAAGTGTCCCTGTTCAGTTTCATCCACCCTCGGATAATTATAAAAATAAACTACAGACATTTGGTGGAAATTTGTCTCGCACACGTTCATGTCAATAAACCGGCCCAGGGTCTGTGCAGAGACAGGGGAGGCCTAAGGCTCTGGGGCTCTGACCAGCTCTAGTGGATGCTCATTGTACAGACCAAACCACCACACTGTTAAGGGTTAGCAGCCTGCCAGTGGCCGGATTTTTGTTTTCTAGGCCTCAAACCTGTAGACTCAGCCTCAAGTTGCAACTCACTGCCATGAGTCGATGCTGACTCTTACGACGGTAACAGTAAGCCCTGTCTTTACCGACCTTGCCAATTGCAGTCCAACTTGTAACCACAACCCCGGCAAGGCTCCTTTTCAAATTACAAAGGAGAAAGCATTTAGTCCGAAGCTTTGGCAAAACATTATGGAAATCAGATTGGAAACTATTATCTTACCCAGAATCAAGGGAGGATGAGTCTTATGTCCTGTCCCCACCCCCCACCTCACTCCCACTGCAACTGGCTAATCCTCTCAAGGACTATGTCTCTGTTAGGACATTCACTGTTAACATCTCCCCTCTTCCTTCTGTCTGCCCTCTGTAGCTTGATGTTGTTGGGGACAGTGCGGTGGATGAATATGAAAAGCAAAGGCCAAGCAGAAAGCAGAAAAGTTTAGGACTCCTGTGCCAGAAGTTTCTAGCGCGCTACCCGAGTTACCCCCTGTCAACTGAGAAAACTACTCTCTCCCTAGATGAAGTTGCTGGCAGCCTTGGTATGTATCACCAGCTTTCCTGGAGGCCCATTGCCAGGGACAGTGGGAATCGGATTTCCTTGGGGAGGCTGGTGGCCTCTGGTAGCGCCCCCTCTTTTTTTAAGCAAGGGTGAAGTTGGAGGAGCAGGTAGAGTTTCCGCTACCAAGTTTCTCTTCATTATGCACAGAACTCCAGGTATCCATACAGGTTGTCAGAGCTGAAAAGTTAACCTTTCTCATGTATGAACTACAGGCCATAGCACTGACCTTGCAGAGACAGCCAGATTGGGAGACCGTGTCGGTACAGTGCATAGCACAGTGCCTCGCCTCAGAAATTCATTATCTGTGTGGAACAGTTTCTACTCCGCTCCTAGCTGCTGAATCCCCTCCCCCTTGATATCCTCTATAGCTAGGAGGAAAAACTAAGATACTCAGTGTGAAGAGCTAATTTGGAGCTTTCTAAGAACAATACTAGTAAAACTAGGGAGAGTGAGCTCGCTGGACAGAGGCAGAGTTGTAGAGCCAAGAAGAACAGGAACCTGAAACTGGTCTTCTAGCGGGTATTGTCATTATGTGCCATAGAGTTGATGCTGACTCATAATGACCCAAGACAGTAGAACAGCGTCACAGGGTTTGCAAGACTGAAAATCTTTGCTGGAGCAGATTGTCAGGGTTTGCCTACAGAGACCCCGAGGTGGTAGGTTCCAACCACCAATCTTTCCACTAAGTAGTTGTGCACATAACCACTGCGCTACCGGGGCTCCTTTCCAACGGATGAGCATACACAGTAGATCATGCAGTGTCTCTTCAGTGGAGTTCATGAAGCCAACTTCTTCCAAATACCCAACTTTCATCAACAGGCCTTACACTGAAGTCCATGCAGAAGGCAAACTGAAGGTGGAAGGCTATCTTTTACAGGCACCAGGGAGGGCAGAGAAGTGGAATCCTATCCTGCTGTGGGCTGCAGGAGGCGCTAAGATCAACTGCTAGGGCTCCAACGGCTGACCGCCAACCAGAGAGCTTTATTTACCACAGCTTCCCTCTGAAATGCACATGCCGTCGTTTCTTGTGGCCGGGTAACCTCCCGGAAGCTCTTTCAGAGGTGGCCCTCTTGGAATTGACTCTGAATTCACTGCCCCACGTCCCAGGTTACAAGGTAGAGGATCATATTTTAACCAAGGATGTGTGGAGAGCACAAAGATTGCTTTGTTCCCTGGATTCTGGTGCCAGGGTTGTTGGAGGTGGATAGTGGCGGTGCGAAGTAAAGCACTGAGGATGACTTTAGCAAAGGGGAAAGGATCAAGCCTCAGAGACTGCTAATGGACAGAGAGAGGTTCTTGATAAGTCCCGCAGAGCCTAAGGGAGGCATGGTAACAGCTGGCAAATCCTTGATGGCATAACGAATGCCATGACTAGGATTAATAGGATTACCTTGGTACAAAAGAAAGCGGTGGCGGGATACCACAGAAAATCTAACTAACAGAGTTAAATCCCCCACGTAACCCGTGGGTCTGGAGACCTGCAAAGTGGGACTTCCCACTGCACCAGCCAACAGACCCTTAAACTCAGTTCTGATGGCAAAGGCAAGTGAGTGAGCAGGCAAGCAAGCGGCTGCCACACGTGCCTTTGCCACACCTCCTTGGAAACATTCACTGGGCACCTTCCTGTCCCAGTGGTCAGAATCCATCGTTAATTTCCTTCTCAGATTGTGCAGCCACTAGATGGAGGTTTCACAGGCTCTGTCGGATACAGAACAGCGACATAGGCACATGGCTCACCCCGGGCAGCTCGGTTGTATTCACATGATTAATGGGAAGGTTGATAGAATACACTCTAGAGAAGATGGGTTCGTATATGAAGGCAGACAGGAGCCAGGTGGTTCTGGACCAGGGAGGCTGACTGCTCCTGCCGGCACCTTCTGGAGGCATCTGGCGGTGCAGCCTGCACTTCTGAGGGAGAAGTGCTTTAGGGCTCTGAGCCAAAATGTCCCAGTTGACTGTGAAATGCCCTTTCATGTATGTGAGAGAGCTTCGTCAGGCTCCCCAGTTTTCATTGTCATTTCATCTGTTTCTCTTCTTTGAAGGGCCAGAAGCTGCCTTCCCTGAGTCTGTCCTGATTATATTACAGCTCCTGGCAAGTGAGCTGAAAGAAAGACATCTTTGTAGCTGGTTTGGGTTTCTGGGAGATGCCTGGAGGCTTTTGTTATGGATACTTAAAGAAGAGCAAAGGGGACCAGTGGCTTCCAAAGCCTAAGAGCCTGTTGTCCAACCAGATGAGTCACAGATGAGAGATTATTAAAAATCTCTTTTCTACTGTGACCTCTTAGGCTAGCAGGGACCACAGGTGTCTCCAATGCCAAGCAAAAAAAAAATATCATATTTAGTTTTCATCCTTTTCTGAGATACATACAAGAGGCACAAAGAAAGAGCAAATAACTTGTCCGGGACCACCAGCAGGTGGGCTCCACATTGAACCACAATAACAAAGTACATTTGATGTCAGCTCCTAATCCGAGTGGGGGAAATGACTAAGAATTTGACCAGCTTTGCATCCAGTGTCTGGGCTGCCTGGCAGCATGTGGTGAGTGGGGGCATAGAGTGTTGTTAGCAACTGTGAGGAGACGTAACGGAGACGCTGTGGGGCTCCAGCCCTGCTTATGCCTTCTTCCAGCCACCTGAGCGGGGTGCCCAAGTTCCCGAGGCCTGACAGTTCAAAGTAGGAAACAACATATTCACCACCTTTGTTTTCCCCCTTACAGACTAAGGTAGTGTTAGCAAGGTAGTGCAGTCGTGCCATTCAAACTCCAAACTCAAACCCACTACCATGGAACCTATTCTAACTCACAAGGTTTCAGAGACGACATCTTTTTTTTTCTTGATTTCAGATCATTTTATTGGGGACTCTTTAAACTCTTGTTACAGTCCATACATCTCTTGCATCAGGCAAATTTGTACATATGTTGACTTCATTCCTTTCTAGACATTTACTTTCTATTGAGCCCTTGGTATTAGCTCCTCTTTTTTTGCCCCCTCCCGCCCCCCCCCTCACCATAACCCCTTGATAGATTATAAATGGTTATTATTTTCATATCTCACATTGAGTGCTGTCTCAGTGACTGCATCTTTTGGTCTGCAAAAAGCCTCAACTTTCTCCCTTGGAGCCCACTGGTGGGTTTGTATAGTTTGCACAGTGAGGGATACATCGGGCATCCATTAGGAACACAACTGCATGTGTTACAGAGTGCCATCAATGTTGATCTAAAACGCTGATGTGGTTTGCCTAACAGATCGAAAGAAACACTGCTACACTGTTTTGTGAGGTGAAATGTTCATCCATCTCTAGATGAATGTCCTCCTAGATCTTACTGCATTTTGGATCCAGAGAAGAAAGAAAGATCATTTCTATGGCTTGCACCTTTACAGATTGAACTGGTTGAGGGGTCCACGCTTGCTGGGCATTGTCTGGGCATCGTACAAAGTAGTTACCAGGAATTTACGCACAGAAAAATGTTCATCTGCCTGTCTTTTTGCTTCTGCTTTTCAAACAGGCGTTGAAAGGAGACGCATATATGACATCGTAAATGTGCTGGAGTCGCTGCAACTTGTCACCCGGGTGGCCAAGAATCAGTATGGTTGGCACGGACTGCACAGCCTGCCCAAAACCCTGAGGCACCTCCAGAGACTAGGAGAGAAGCAGAAGTATGAAGAGCAGATGGCATACCTCCAACAGAAAGAGCTAGACCTGATGGATTATAAATTTGGAGAACGGAAAAAAGAGCTCTATCCAGATTCCCAGGAACCACAGTTGCTGGATTTCTCTGAACCTGACTATTCCTCTTGTGAGTTATAACCACATGCATCTGGCAAAGAGTACTAGTCTCCTCTGAAGGGAATGGAGGGAAGTACCAGATTGACAGCCCTGGTGGGAGGGAGGTGGTCTCTTAATCTCTCTCTCCTGGAGAAAGGGACAGATGGCTCCCCAACTAGGCAGCCCAGTCAACCTCATTTCAAGCCTGTCTAGTGGCAGCTCACTTGAGATTGGGTGTGCATGGACCTCTGGATCACTCAGAGGACTCCTGGCTTAGGGTGACAACCCCATGCTGTTTTCTCTCTATGAGCTTTTAACTAAAATTTACTTTGAAAGAAATACTCTTTCAAATGATTCCATGTTTCAGAATTTTTATTTTCAAGACAGGGACTTTAGAAAAGAACCTCTTACCCCAAGGCTGTTGACTCAGAGAGCATCCTGGCTTTCATGTGATGCAGAGGTTGTTAGGGACTGAACGCCGCATCAGCCTCCTTCCTCCTGCTTAGACCATAGACTGTCTTCGTCCTTGACCTCCTCCCTCTTGCTAAGGTGATGAAGTGCAAGTATCACATTTCACTTGCAAATATTAGAAATGGAAAGAACGGTGGGCCTGGTTTTCATTAGATTCTCTGCCTCATGCCTTTTAGTTCCACCCCATGAGCCAGGACTTACCCTAATAAGCAGAGGAGACAGCCATCTGTCGGGGAGGATTTGCCTGCCGTCCACATCTAAACAGCGTCTACTATTTACTTAGGGTGCACTGCACCATCTCTTTGGAATGGAATTGGAGGAGGTGGACACCTACTACCTGTAGCTGTTGTGGCTGCTGAGAAGTCAGTTAGAATCCTTGCCTTTAAGGAAAGGGTTGATGTTCTGAACACAATCTTGGTCCCTGACTTATCCTTTTATTCTTCTGCATTTGTATTTTCAAAAAAAACACAAGTCATTTTTTAAGAAGAATGCATTGTGGATTCTGTTATGTGACGTATGAATATAAAGCTTCAACAGAGGTTTAAAATATGCATTTCAGAACTTATGCCTACTGCAGAGTAATGTTATGAGCCACAAGAAAATCAGTTTTCCTTCTGTATGAGCCAACTATTGTCATGTGTGTCCAAATAGGCTTTGCTCTCTAACAAGGATATTCTTTCCATCGGGTGGTTTCAAAGCTAGCCGGCTTCAGCACACTGTAAGTACAGTCATCGTGGTGGTAAATGGTTTTGATGCTTTTGTTCTCTCTCCTTTGTAGCATCCGCAAATAGCAGAAAAGATAAATCTTTGAGGATTATGAGCCAGAAATTTGTTATGCTGTTCCTTGTATCCAAAACCAAGATCGTTACTCTTGATGTGGCTGCCAAAATACTGATAGAAGAGAGCCAAGATACTCTGGATCATAGTAAATTTAAAAGTAAGAGGCTTTACCTTGGTCCATTTATCAGCCCCCAAAGGGTGGATTTCCTATGTTGGCCTTGTCTACTTGAGTTCGATGTTTGGCTGTGGGGAATTGCACTTCTTCCTGTGTTTCTGAAGAGTTGATGTGGTCAGTTACCTGAAGTCCCAACAGGAAGAAACATTGCCCAGTCCGGCGGCATCCTCAGTCAGCAGCGCATTGGCTGTTGTTCCCCGTCCATCCCACCAGCGTTCTTGTGGCCCCGACCTCACCAGCCATGACTAATCCTAGCGCCCACCCCTACCCCAAGTGATTGCTCTAAACTCAGACAATGTTGTGCTGTGATTCATAAGGTTGCCATATGCTGGGTTTGGGGAAATAGGTCACTAGCCTTTCACCCCAGTCTTTATTAGTGTAAAAGCTCCACTAAGACCTGTGCACCATGGGAAACCTTGAAATGCCGTCTGACAGGTGGTGAGAAAGCGAAGTGAATCATGCTAGAATTCCCATTCAAGTTCATCAGCTGCTTTGTCCCAGGCAATTACAGGGGGCAGACAGAACTGAGAACGTAATCACCACAATCCAAGAACGAATATCTGAGTTTTCTTTCCCTGCTCCACCACTCTCGGGCCCCCTCACCCCTTCCACCCTCTCCTGGAGGGTGGAGATGAGTTTTCTACAGGTAAGAACAGGGCAGGGTAGGGAGACAAACAGCCGTGGGCCCTGGACAAAGTGTTTTCAAATGCCGCCCACGCCAGTGCATCTGCCTTTACCGTCAGCACAAGGCTGAGTCAGACGTCCCTGGAAGCCAGGAGCTGACCACTGTCTAGCTTGTGCTTTTTCCAGCTGCAATTGCAGCCACCCTATGGGAGGGCGAGCTAGATGAAACTAGCCCCTGTGGGAACTGAGAGGAAAGGGGTGAGGGTGTCTGAACCGACGGCCAGAGTGTGCCTTTGCTTGACCCTAGCCCTGAAGCTGAGGAAGTTTCCTACCTGCAAACTGGTTTCTTGAGCAGAAAATACTTCACAGCAGGCATCCCCCATCTTTTCTGGGTCTAGCACAGGCACTTTCAAAGCCTCTTTAGGCTCAGAATGCTCCCCTTCCCTGTGTCCACCCCTGTGGATGCGTTACTCAAATGCTAGGGTTTCTGACAAGAAGCTGCCTGTCTTAGGCAGTTATTCCTCCTGACCTTAAGTCCTGGCCACCGTGTGTGCCCAGGACTGCAGCAGCTGCAAGAAGCTCTGGGGACCCCCTGTCATTCCGCAGGCCCGCTGATGCCGTGACCTCCTGCTGCGAGGGCCAGCTTCTGCCATGCCACATAGCAGAATTACATTCACTGAGACTCTAATTACAGCCCATTTCCCTCTCTTGATATTTTTGCAACTCCCACATGCCCTGCCTGTCACCAGGTACTTACTGTAAGAGGCGTGAAGCCGTGGAAATGGAAGGACACACTGACCTTCCATTCATATCTGTCTTCACATACACCAGGTACTTAATCCCAGTGGTTTGATGACGAAGCCTCTTCATCTCTCCTTATTGCTTTCTGCTTGGTGTTGTATATGGTAGCTTATGGCATCGACGAAAATGGAATGGTGTCAGGAAGGGCACGACCCTAATTGTGTTTTATATCTTCAAGCAAAAGTGCGGCGCCTCTACGACATAGCCAACGTTCTGACCAGCCTGGCTCTGATAAAGAAAGTGCATGTCACCGAAGAGCGAGGCCGTAAACCTGCCTTCAAGTGGATCGGGCCTGTGGACTTCGGCACCAATGGTAAGGCAGCCTGCGTGTCCTCAGGCCCTCCTTATTCAGGATACCAAGTTTCGTTGTCAAGTTGTACTTCATAGTGCATAGCGAGCATGATTCTCTCTCCTTCCCTCTTCATGTTGTTACTGTGAGTGGTCATTAAATTGGCCCCCAGCTTCTGGTAGCCCATGCATAGTGGATGGCGTCAGCACACCGGGATCCACAGTGTTCTCACTGGTCCGTTTCTCACAAGTAGATTACGAGACCTGTCCTTTTAGTCCGTCTGCGTCTGGAAGCTCCACAGGAGCCAGTCCAGCGTCACTGCAGGACGTAAGCCTTTGCTGACTGACAGCTGGTAGCTGTTCATCAAGTGCACTGGCTGGGCCTCCTGCATGAGAGGCACAAAGTCTTCCATGAAACCACCGCGGCTTCTCCTTTCCCATACACAGGAAATGGAAACGGGGAAGGCCATGGATAAACACCAGGCTGCACATGGGCTCAAGCACGGGAACAAGTATGAGGACAGCGCAGGGCGGGGCAGTGTTTCCTTCTGTTGTGCATCTGGCCACCGTGGGTCAGAACTGCCTCACTGGTACCTAGCAACAACAGCACACGGCATAAAGACTCGCTGCCGTCAAGTCAGTTCTGGCTCCTGGCAACCCTACAGGACAGTAGAATGGCCCCGCAGGGCTTGAAAAGCTGTGACTTTATGAGAGTAGATGCTGCTCCTGCAGAGGAGTTGATGGGCTCAAGCCCTGACTGGTCAGCCAGCAGCTGAGGGCTTAACCACCGCACCACCGGGCGCCTCCAGGGCCATGGACAAGTCAATGCCGATGAGACTAGTACCTCCACTCCCCAGAACAATAAGCACTGACCTACTGGTCCGCTCATGCCGAGGCCAGCAAGCCAGGGAGGTCCTGAAAAGATCGCCCTTGGGAGTTTCTGTAACTACTGAGGTACAGCTTTTAGAAGTTTTTATTTTGTTCCCAAGCTTTTTGAAACTAGTTGTTTCTGTATTAGTGGAATAAAATCTGTTTCTTCTTTTAAATTGTAGAAATTATAGCAATTAATATCATAAAATTAATAGGGTGAATTGCTTCTGAATATTATATGGGAGTAATGAATACCTTTCCTTTTTTAGTAATTGAAAGGGCACAGGCGTCACAATTTCCCTAAACTGGCATCAGGACGTGTTACTACCTTCTACTTCCATCACAGGCACTCCAGCGATCAGGGCCCAGGTCTTGTCACATCATCAGCTGCCGCTTCCCGTGGAGCGGGGCCACAGGACCCGTTATTCCTAAATTGCCCTGCCCATTTTGCTGCGAGTGGTCTAAATTGTGCCACTCCACCCACAGACATAACTCTCCGTCCCCTTCGTCTGACATCATCCACCTCCGATCTCGATGAAACCGCTTACAGCGTCCGTGTAAATAAGTCAGCCCGGCAGGTGCTCAGGGATTGTGGACCGGTTGCTATGCTGCACGCTGTGACTGAGCTCCTGCCGACAGGAGGTCGCCAGCTGTGCGCTTCCTGGTCTCTCTCTGCCTTCCTTCTCCTGGGCTTTCCCCCTGGCAAGCTTCCTTCTTGGCTTCTGCTCCACAGCCAGGACTTCCACTCAGCCTTCAAGACCTGCCTCAGAGGTCAGTTCTTCCCGGCTGCTTCCCGAGTACCGGAAGAAGGCTCACCTGAGCGCCTGCCGTGGAGTGGTCCACTTGGTGCCCGTGACGGCGTGGTGTTCCTCTTTGGGGCTGGAAGCCGTCTTTTCTTGGCTCGTGTTTGATTACCGAGCTCAACACTTACAATACCATTATAGTTGGTTAATGAGCTTCTATGGAAGGTGGGAAACTAACACACTTGAAAATTAAAGAACAAGTGTATTTATTCTCTTAGGTGGGGTAGCACTATAGGGTGGCTGTGAGAGTTCAGGGGAGGGGAAATGTAGGTTTGAGTTCTGATGGGTTTTGGAGGGATGGAAAGCCTTTGAACTGAAAGAACGGCATAAAATTTGATGTGTTGGGTAGACCAGCCACCCTGATGGAAGTGGAGGGGCTAGGATTGGAAATATTGAGAAACGGGGCCCTGTTTTGGAAGCCCTCAAGACCTGAGGCTAGAGATTTTGACTGAATGTAATTGGTGGAAGAGAATACTCAGGTGGTGGTACCACTGAAGGAAGTCGGTTAGCAGGGGGACTTTGAGGCCAAGAGCGCTTGTGGTTGCATGACCGGTGGGACTGCAATTGTTGAAGGAAAGGAAAACTGGAGATAAGCTCATGTGAAGCAGGCCACCTGCCTCTGAAAGGCCTGCCTGGGCCAGCTGACCCCGAGACTATTGGAGAAGGGCGACAGGAGTCTGGCTGGATTCTGAACAAGCTCCTAGTAGGGTTCTTAGGCACACTAAAGTCTAACCTCTCGATCTGTTTATGAAGAATAGATTTAAATAGAGTCACCATGTTCGGTGTTCATTATTCCTTTCTTGTGAGCCCCAAGTTGCCACTTGGCGTTGTTTTCTTCCGTGTGGTGAGCTTCCTTGAACACTATTGCCAGTGCAGGTCTGCCGGTGATGAGTTCTTCCAACTTTGTGTCTCTGAAAGTAAGTGTCTTTTTTTCCCACTTTTGTTTTTGAAAGTTTTCTTCTCAGCGTTAAGGATTCCAGGTTGACTTGTGTTTTTGTTTCTCGAGACTTTAGAGAAGTTGTTCCACTCTCTTAACATTGTTTCCAACAAGTCTGTTGTAATTCTGTTCTGTTGTCTTGTCTTTGTTTTTTGTTTTTTCAAGGTTTTCTCTTTCTGGCTAGTTTTCAGCATATCAATGATGTTTCTTGGTACAATTGTTGTGTTGTGTGCTTGTGTTTGCTGAGCTTCTTAGGCGGTGGATGTGATGTTTCATCCATTTGGGGCCATCGTTCCTCTTTTTTTTTTTTTTTCCTGTCCCCTCCTCCTGTTCTTCGGGAACTCCAGCAGCACGCATGCCTGGCGGCTGGAGATCGTTCCACTGTGCGCTGATGCGGAGTTCATTTCTATCAACCTCTGTGAGTCCTTTGGGAGGGTGGCTATTGCTGTGTCTTCGAGCTTACTTTTTATTTTTCTGAAGTTAGTACTTTACTATTATTAGCACTTATATTAACATTAGTATTTACTGTGGCTATGTGTCACTTAATCGTCACAATATATTCTGTGAAGTAGAATAGCATGCCATTTGGACGTGGTGTGAACACCATATTATACAGAGAAAACCCGCAGTTCAAACTCCTAAAAGCCTATTGAAAACCTAAGGGGACCACTGGACAAAGCCCACGAGATGTCTCCACTGGGTACAAGAGCTGGATTTTCTAGGGATGTGATTGAACTGGGGGGGAGCAGCCAGGTTGGGGCTCTAACAACATGCGGGCACAGGTTTTGGAGAGGTGGCCACAGGAACCACGTGTGTGGGTACTGGGAGTATGGTTGGTGGTGGCAGCCCCAGCTCCCCACCCTGTTGGTGTGACCGCTTCCTGCTCCTGGAGCTGCCGCCACCGCTGCTCTCATTTGGGAGTCCACAAGCACCCTAGGCCTGGCTGGTGCCACCAGTGCCCACGGCACAAGCAGAGGACACACAGCATTGCCCTGTGCTAGGAGTGAACGGGGGAGGGGGGGCTGGTGACGGAAGCCAGAAAGGAAGAAGCCCTACTGCTCCTTCCCTCTGGGAGTGTGGGCTCTGCTTTTATGCTTCTTTCTTTACCGTATGCCAGAGATAAAGAATGGCTCACTCTTAGAGGCTGGATGGTTCTGTGCTCCTAAAGATGTCCCTGAGCTTTGCTCTAGGAAGCAGTGTGGTATTCCTTGGAAGCAGTGATCTCTTCAGGTTTTGCTTTTAAATGGCAGCAGGCAGGACCCTAGGAGCTTTTTCTCCAAGGTCCATTGTCCCCAGTAGTCGGGCAGTGCTTTTTTCAGTCCTCTAAGCAATGCCTTCCGAATGTTGAGGTTTTCTGGCTCTTGGAGATGGCACTGCTCCTTCCAGCCCTGTGTGCAGTGAGGACATTACAGTGTCTCATCTTTGGAGGGATTTTTCCCTGCTCTCCGCCTCCTTGCATGTGTCAACGCCAGCGAGCACTCAGAGGGACCCTGGCGGCTAGATCTTGCTCCCTGCCCAGCTCTCTCCTCGGCAGCATTCAGCCCCGCAGACTCGCACACTCACCGCTCCACCGCCTCCGTGTAGGAAGACCTCTGGCGTTGCCAGGTCCGGACCCCCCAGCCCCAAACCTGGAATCATTCTGATGGTTCCTCACTCAGGTCTCTCAGTGCCGGATAGCTAATGTCTTGAGAGTTGTTGCTTTATATATTGTGCCCAACTTTCTGCTTGTTTCGGGGAAAGGATAAATATGAGCCTTCTTACTCTCTGGACCCATTTTCTTCTTTTTAAAGCTGTAATTTTTTTATTTTCTAAAAGTAACATTAGGCTTTTGTTACAAAGAAAGCAAAATTTTAAAAGTTATTTCAAGTGTGTGTTGAAGAAAAATGTACATCTAAGTGAGCCTTTTGGTTTTTAAATCAATCTTTAATTTCAAACATGCATGCTTTGCACTTACTCTGCTCCTGTGACCACATGCAGCCTCAGAAGCCTATAGGGCGTTCTGCTCTGTCTTGTGGGTCACGCTGGGTCAGAATTGACTCGATGGCGGTGAGTTTGGTCTGGAGTCTTGATTGAGCTTATTAAACAGATAAAACAGCACACACGGACACACACAGCAACACCAGTCTGGGCACCAGGTTTAGCTGCCTGGCTCTGTAGGGCCTGACTTCACACAGACGCCTTTCACCATATAAAATATGCCTCCATGGCCCAACCATCTATTATCCGCACTGTTCCGTAGCATGTCAGCCCGTGGGGCTTCAGCTGACCTTATTGCTTTGGCCACTTGGTCCCTGAGCCCCTACTGCATAACAGAGAAATAAAGTACTAAAGGATCCAGAGCTGCTATATCCACTGTCACAGCGCTGTGGCCTAAGAGGCTGATCTCTGTCACTTTTGAAAATGATTCTCAAAATACGCATGCAAGCTGAGCACGGTTGGGTTTTCCTGTGATA